CTCCTCGATTGAATTCCCCCTCTCCCTTAAGGGAATGAGCGCCATCGAGGAGTTTTCAAGTGGGGATAGGTAGCTTTCGCGGCAGAAGCTCGTTATCAGTCTCGTGAACGGCTACAGTCGTCGTTCGTTTCCTTTCTAACCGTAAGTGCCCTGTTACACAACACCACGGCAACGCGCCAAGCAATCAACTGACACCAACAAGTCATCGGTCGCTCTGGGGATGACCGAAAGCTCCAGGAAGTTCTCTTCAACGGGCATCCTACTCGCCTCCAGTAGGACACTGGCACCCGTCATCGTCATAACCTGAATGCAATGTGAAGGATCAATTTTCCGTGGTGACAGAATTTTTGCATTTTAGCTTGGAGCTTCCAAATTTTCTCCAAATGGCGCCAGCACCAGCGGGTGTCATGTTAATCAACAGGACCGGGTACTCATCGCTAATAGCTCCATACATCACTCCATCGCGTAAAATCACCTACTTAAAATTTTTTTCCATCCTTCTTTTGCCTTCAGGGGCTGCTCAGCGGAAGGGAACCTCAGTTTTGTAGTCGACGTGGGTGCCCCTACACCATGCAAAAATCGGTTGATAAAGCGCTTCACGTCCTCAAAGACCCTCCCTGTCAGGGCTTGCTTTCTGATTACGTTCTTCTTAGTTTTGTTATAACGACCAGAATATTCGTCACAGTTCGCGAGGCGAATGTTATCACAATTAGTGATCTGATGAATTTATTGTCATTTTTTATTATCCATTCATGTGAAATGAGCGAATCCGTAACTTTTCGTTCCGCAGAAACCATGCAGTGTCTTATTTTTGCTTATTAAGTCAGTTCACTCTCGCTTTCCCGCCTCGAAAAATGATGTGTCTCTTCTCGCTGAACCGTTGAAATTCCAAAATGGTCGTGTTGCGCCGAACAGATTTCTCAAAGTAGGTTGCAAGATACCTCAACCTGTGAACTGACTTTCCTCTTCCTTTTTTCTCTCTTGATTTCTTTGAGTAGTTCTTACTTCACGTCATTCAGGCAGCTCTGTCAGAAACAATAAGCTCATGGGATGCGAAAGATCCATCAAAACGCGGTCTGCCAACGGACGAACTCGTCAACATATACGACAAGTGGGGTCATGGAAAGTTCGGCATGATTATTACTGGCAACATTTGCGTGGATCCGGTTCGTTCCGTTCGTTTCCTTCTTCTACTATAGCCAACAACTGGAGATGTGCCTACCATCTGAGCCAGCAGCATGGTTTCAGTGAAGTGGGAGTAGTTTTCAAGAGGAGGTTAGGATTAAGGTTTTCTCATAGGAGCACGAAGGAAGAAGCACAATAGTGGAACTTTGTGCAAATTTCACGCCCGACCACAGATGGACGGGGAGGAGTGTAACTAAATGCCAATGAAGGGAGAAATTCAGGAATCTCTAAAAAGCTGGAATAAAATCAAAATCCACTGTAACGGACCAGTAACGAGAGGGGTTTTCCTACTAAGGGAAGCTCCACTGCTTACCGAGCACGCCGGTTGATTGGTTTTGAAATGGCGGTGCGGTAGGTCGTGGACCATAACGAAGTGGTCTGAACGAGCGTAGGTCGACAAAGGCAGCACTATGTAAGCATTCACCACGGTTCTAGGGAAGGCTATAGAAATATTCAATGAATTCGAATTCGAACACCTTCAACGCCGGCCACCGTCCATCTACAATCCATAGGCCCCGCCATTGTAGACAGGGTCACCGCTCAATCTATTGGGCTCCGTTACCTCCGATCCATATCCTGATCGTCCCAAACTGACTCAATAATTCATTTAGGTAATACAATATAGAAAGAATGCATTTTTTTCTTTTTGATGAGCCTTAGGCATTTGCCCACACTCCTTCCCGTCATCTCGTGGTCGGTGCACCGTGAAATTTGCAATAGGTTTCACTATTTATGCGGTTCTTCTTCGTGCTTCTATGAGAAACTTAATCCAAACTCCAAATAGAAATACATAGCACTTCGTATATGATAGAAAAGACGTGTACATATTCCAGGTCAATCTCGAATCAGCTGGAAATGTTATATTTAGCAAAGAGACTGATTCTATTCACCTAAGGGGAATGATTTCGAAAGTGGTGAAGGCCATGAAACAGGATGGAGCTTTGGCCATTGCTCAATTGTCACATGTGCGTTTTTTGGACGATAGAAGGCATTACTTTATTGTATTATTTTGATTCTTTTCATAGGTTATTTAACAGCAGGGATGGCCGAATGATCAATAGTTTAGATATATCAGTACCTCTAAGTGTCGCGAGTTCAATCCCTATCGAGGTTCAACGTGCCCTGCACAACTTGCATAAATGGACCTAGTACCAGCGTCAGGCCCAGGCTGAGGGGCCGCTACCGCGAATACGTACAAGTGGCCGACAGGCTACAGAACAAGCAACCTTGCAGACTACACGTGTAAACGATAGGGGCAAGAAGAAGTTCACAAGGTGTGATGGGTTTGCGTGTCATGATCACCTTCACCATAAATAAGAATGTAATAATTAATGGTGTAGTGGAATTCGTGGGCCTTGGTTTGCGCTACGACAACATTTCGTGCAACTCGCATCGGCTCTACATTGAAGGCAAAAGTCGGACTCAATAAGGGGTGTTATGGCGATTGAAACTGACGATGAGTATAGCAATGCGAAGTGGAAGGACAGTGGAGAAGAAACTGAGAAAAACCGTCGCAAGGCCGTAAACAAAGTTTTAACAAAAACCCTTTACGATTACAGTGAAAACAGGCGGAGCTTGCGGGAAAGAGGCACGTACAAACAAGTTTTCTGGAGATGTCAGTCGTTCTATCGGTTGATACGGCAATCAACCTAGCTGATTTCACACGTTATGCCAGCCACGCACCACTTCCGGAGGTGGGCGGTCCTGGATTGACCAGGCGGCCCTGGATTGAAACCGAACGCCCCGGGGCCTTAACGGGGTTTTTCAAGGTGGGAAGTTGCTGCAATGTGTGCAGCTACCCACATACAACCTCCAGGCACGGGAATTACTTCTCTAGCGTGCCTGAGCCCGACCTTTGCCTTTAAGGTGCCTTTAAGTAGGCTGGTGGTAGTACATGCCTTACGATAGACATGTTCCGTGATTAGTAGCACCCCATGAACTTGCTGGATTGAGGTGAAATTTAGACATTTCTCAGGCAGGACGTCAAACACCAAGACTGGTAAATCCACATCCAGCCTCATGCTCTGACATCGAATTGAAAGTGGCTCAACCTATGGTTGGCTTTGGACGTCCTATTCCTCTTACTGAACCACAAGTGAAGACTGATGTTGTGGATCGATTTGTATATGCAGCGAAATTTGCTCGGGATTGTGGTTGGTTCATACTTTGCGTATGCTTTCTTCAACTTTTGTTGTAATATTTCAATAAGGAAGTATGAGTGTAAGTGCAGGGATGCTTTTTCCGCTATTCTTGGTCACCAAATAAGGTGCCTGCATTTTCTCCTCTCACAACCCTTCCAGTCGAGGTCGAACAGTTTGCATCCTTCTGTCGGTTGTTCTCCTCTTCAGTGTTGAAAGTCAGAAATGTTTAGTCGTTAGCACTAGCCAACTCGGATGGGTCACGTAGGGCTCATAAGAGGTCATGGAGGCGTCTCAGAGCGTATTTTTCTTATAATGGTCACGATAATTTTGAATGGTGAAGAATGAAAGTGGGGATGTTGGATGGTAAAGAAGAAGCCGTCAAAAGCACGAGAGATGGCCTCTTCTTTCAGTCCATTGAGCATAACATCATCATCGGAAGTGCCATTAAGTAACTTTTCGTACAGACATCTGTGGGCAAGCCTTAATGAAGTGATGATGCTAGAAGTCTCCTCAACTGGTAAAAGCAAAAGAGCAAACTCGGCAACGAGTCGGTTCAACGATCCGGCGCCGATAAGCCTGAACCACTTCCAGTTTTACCTCCGTCCAATGAATCACTCAACGAGATGGAATGGCAGTTCTGAGCTCAACATCTCGTGGCGAATACAACCATGTACACATAACTCCATTTGGATGAGTAAGCTTCTGACCTCCTTCTGAGCTGAGAACGTGTCTAATTAAAGGCAGAATTCACGATGAAAAGTTAGCTCATTGGAAATAAGGGTAGAGGTGGTCAGTGGAGCAGGGATGAAGAAGAAACCATTGAAACGGCCCGAAACCCGAGAAATGGGACCCCTTCCTTGCCCGTTGATTTGCGCATTGATGCGACTCTCATCGCTGTGCCCTCTTCAACACTACGCTCTCTCTGCTATCTAATCACTCGCCACGTATAGACCTGCGGCGAGTGATTAGATAGTCGGTGGGCGTACCCCGCCAACCGCGCCAAGAGTGAGCCATGCTAGATCGCCGAGGTCAAATCTTTCGCTGCCAATTGCGCGTCGGTCAGCACCCTCAGGAGGTCCGCCTGTCTCCCAACTATGCAATTTTCCCTTTCTTGACCTTCGTTTTATCGTGAATTCTCTTAAATGTATGCTATAGCATGGGAAGAGTTCAGAACAACTCTTCTACGCATGAACTGTACATACATGCACAATTATTCGTTCTATTTTATATCATTGAAATTATCTATCAGCTATTGTTGAAGGATTCGATGGCATCGAGCTTCATGGGGCACATGGCTACCTTTTGTCGTCGTTCATGTCTTCCTACCGTCAATAATCGTACGGATAAATATGGCGGGTCGGCTCAGAACCGTATGAGGGTGATTCGTGAGATATTCGACGAAATTAGGTGGGCTCTCTGCCTTGAAAACGATTTAAAAAACGTTGTTGGATAATATTGAAACATTCAGGAAGGACATCTCCGAAGCCACAGGTTTTTTGATAGGGATCAAGACGAATACGATCGAATTTCACGAAAAGGGGTTGAGTGTGGAGAAGCGAAGGTTATGTGTTGTATAATTGAGGTGAGGCCTATAGGTAGTAGTAGTAGTAAGGAATTTTTCTGATAGTGTTGAGCTTTACAATGCAGTCACTGGGTAGTTGTAGGCTCATTTTAATTTTCTAGAAAATTGGCTTCGATTTTGTGGTTTTTTTTTTTTTTTGTGGAACTGTCTGGTGGGACCCTGGAGCGAAATGCATTCCAGCATAAAACCGAGGCAAGCAGAAAGCGAGAGGCGTTCTTTTTCAACTTTGCAGAGAAGGTTAATACAATTTTATGGCACTTGCGATGTGTTTTGAGCAATATGATTCTCACGGCCCGTCG